AGTGGAAAAATATTCGATAGGTCATTTATCATATGATTAGTAACTTTAACATATGATTAGTAACGTTATGTTGTATGTTATAATATTGTTATCGGTGGTTTCCACACAGTCGGTTGACAGTAATTTTTGTTTAAAAAAGTTTGATTCATTTATATCAGAATTTTCCAATTCATAATTTACTATAGTATACTAAGATTGGTTTTTGTTTTTTAAAAAACCGGGAAAAATTCATATTGATAGAAAAAGAAAGCATACTTATTGTTAATTTATTCATTTTTAAAATGGGATAATTGTAACTAACAATGTTAAAATGCGAACAGAGATAAAAATCAATGAAAATATTTGCATAATATATTAAAATTCAAGTTTTGTTGTCAATATCGCGGAAAAATGCTCTCTCCGAGATTTCCTCCCATAATTCAACATTATGATTTAGTAACGATGAGCTTCTCGATTGTCGCTCATTAGATTTCACTGAAATTATGCTAATAAAGGTTTGGTTTAAGCATAAAGCTACTGTATTGACATGTTAAACAACTCTATGTTAAATAATATACTTAGTGCAAGTGAATAGATTATCATTTTAATTATTCAATATATTTTATTGCTACTCTCGATGGATTATAAAATAGTATCATCGTTTGAAAATTACTGTTAGCATGTTTGAATTAACAGTCAGTCAGAGATCTTTTCGATTGATCTTTGTATGTTACACAGATCATCCTGATCATTCAGGATGTGACCGGAAAGAGGTCACTGACCCAAAGAATATGTTAATGGTAATGGATAATATCCCGATAGTTAGGTAATATGTCTCATGCCGCTATCCTTGTTTCAAAAGTGACTGGTAATATTTAAAATCAGCTTTTTCAGTCGATTTAGCGATCGATTGTAATACGGTTGATGCATCATTTGTTGTCGTTGTTGTTGTTGTAATAAATCATTAACTTAACAACTACACTTAATTTAAAATATTGGGTGGTTTCATTAATTCTTGGCAATTATTTTATTAATTTTTGAGGCATTGACATGATTTAAGTTTTAGGCATTTTTTGGGCATTTAAAATATTTTTAAGCTATCAGTAGGTTATTTTATTGTTTGCGAAGAACTTTTTTTCCGAAGTTTTCCAGAGACAATTGGCGAACGAGCTAACGAAGGCATAAAGGAAAATTCTATACTTTTACTTTCTGATATTCATGAAGAATTTAAAATTCAGGGGTATTGTTTGACGAAAATGTACTGCTGAAATTCTTTCTCCTGTTTTGAAAAGTGAATTTTGTTTTTTCTTTTTCAAATATGAACTTAAGTATTAAAGAAGTGAAGATGCGGTATATAAATTTAAAATGGTACTAATTTACTAAGTCAATAAAAAATTTTCATTTCAGTTTATGCAAAATGATAAATCGCGTTATTTTCTATGTAAATCGGATCAAAAATTTATTTTTATTAAAAAGTTCTAGTATTTTAAACGTTAATTTTAATTGCAAGAATGAATTAAAAGTATGACTAATTAAAAATTTTACTAATTCCTCTACCAAAACATAATTATTAATGTTTTTTTATTATTTAAGCTGTCAGGTGACCTATATGTATGTGAAGGTGACGTATATCAGAAAAAACCACAATGTATACCAGGTGGTCGCAAGTGGCTGCAGTAGGAGGTGGTTGCAGTAGCAGGTGGCTACAAGTGGTTGCAGTAACAGGTATCTACAAATGGTTGCAAGTGGTTCCAGCAGGAGATGGTAGCAAGTGGTTACAGTAACATGTGATCGCAAGTGGTTGCAGTAACAGGTGGTCACAAATGGTTGCAGTAATAAGTGGTCGCACGTGGTTACAGCAACAAGTGGTCGCAAGTGGTTGCAGTAACAGGTGGTTGCAAGTGGTTGTAAATAACAAGAAGTGGCAGTAAAACTGGTAGAAAATAATAGCAAGTGGTAACAAATAGTTTTTTATCAGTTTTATGTTTTTTTTTTTTGTGCTTTAATGTAGTTTTTTTTTCAATTTTGGTTTCCTTTGTTTTCATCATTTGCTGCTATTTGCATTCAGATTCATTAGATTTGAATCATTCAATATTAGAAAAGTGTATAATGTCTTATAAGCATCCTTGCTAAACGGTTTTGCATTAGTTTTTAATGTCTAACTACCAATATTTTTAGTATTAAATGATACCAAAAATGCACTCAATGAATGAGATTGGTGACAGAATTAAAAAAAAAATGCAATTAATGCAGTAAAAAAGTGCAGGCTGTGAGAAAAAACTGAACATTAGCAAGAAAACAAGCTTTAAAAAATTTAAAAAAAAGAGAAGAAAAAATCAAAAGAAATAATATTTAGGGGAAACTTTCGAGAATTAAGATTTAATGAACATGATGCATAAAATAAGCGAAGTTTTCGTAAAATAATAAATATAATAAATGCAAGCAAAAAAATTTTTTTTCAAAAAAACATGCAAAATTGAAATTAGCGATAAAAAAAAAGAAAAGATGAATTGCTAGATAAAGACACTGCACAAAAAAAAAGAAAGAGAAAAAAAGCTAATTTAATAGAAAAATAGGAAAAAAGTCGAGTTACCTACTACAAAAAAGAAAGTAAATTTAAAAAAATTTTTTTTTTGTAAATTTTTCAAAAACAAAATCTTCAAAGAAATTAGGACAAGAAACTTCAAACCATAAATTAACCATAGGTTAAAAATAAATCCATTGCAGATAAAACCCTTTGTTCTACTGCAAAAAAAAAAACAGTAAAAAGATGAAAAACTAAATTGTAAACAAACGACAACTACAATTAACCTAAATAAAATAGGAAAGCAAGCCATAAGAATTAAAGTTTAATATGTAAAAGATAAAAATGTCGGTGCATAAATTAGTGAACACCGAAACATGCAAAAGCAGTAATACCACCTGTGAGTGATCTCACAATAAGTAGGACAAAGGAATTTTCGAGAATTTATTGATGGCATTAAAGTTGCGTAGCATTTTCGAGTGATCGCCAATGACCACTCCTTTACTTTTCTGATTAAAGTAAAAGTCGCATTTTTTTTTTTTTTTTTTTTTTTTTATTTTCGATAATTTCATTACTTTTGCTGTGATCCTAATAACACAATGCATATGTTGACAGTATGAATTTTAACGAATAAATTTGTAAAACTACGACTGCTTTTAATATTATTTCAATTTAATTATTGTTTGCATTTACCATATCAAACAGATGTTTATGATATTTTTTTTTTTCTAATAACTGGTAGTAGTCAGGAATTATTTCTGTACCCATTGTAATTTCTAACTTTTTGAGAATAGTGAAATTAATTTTATTTTACACTTTCGTGTTGTTACTAATTGATTCGTTTTTATCGTTGCTAATTTAATTTTTGCTAATTATTTATTCTTTTGTTTTTTCTATTGTCTGTGTATTTTTGTTATTAATTTTGATTGCTTTTCTTTTTAATTTTTATTTCTTTTTATTATTCAGTTTTATTAATTTTGTTTATGCAGCAGTTTTCTATGCTTTTTGATATGATTTTTAGTTTTTGATAGCATTTCATTTGTTATCATCTTGTGCCAACCATTAAGTTTTCTTCATTAACCAATTTTGTGTAAATTGCTACTGTTTTTAATTTGTTACTAAGTGTAACTAATTTAAATTTGAATATTAAATTTCCACAACGTTATTACTTTCACTGACGAAATATGTGAAAGCAGTTGCAAAGGAGAAAACGCAGAAAGAATTGTACCTCACCAATACCGCCTATTTGCCTTTCCCACGTTGTCTTTTCCGAGGGTAGTAAAGCTCTTTTCAAATGTTTGTTTGAAGTCAAGTTGAAATACCAGCAAATGGACTTTTTACATTTTTGAATCTTAACATCGAATAAAATGATTTGAAGTGATATTCGATCGATAGTTGGAACATTAGGGTAAATTTCAGTTTTTTACTTTTTAGTAAATTTTTTTTTTTTTTTTTGCTTGCTATATTTGCTGCTAAATATTTAGTGAAAGCTTTAGAACGTAAATGAATTTCACCAATTTTGGATACGTTTTGCTCTTTGTTATTGCTAAGTTTGCATGTGTACATGTCGATTAGGAAATGTAATTAGTAGAAATAGTATATCGATTAGAAAGTGTAATTAGTAGAAATAGTATATCGATTAGAAAGTGTAATTAGTAGAAATAGTATATCGATTAGAAAGTGTAATTAGTAGAAATAGTATATCGATTAGAAAGTGTAATTAGTAGAAATAGTATATCGATTAGAAAGTGTAATTAGTAGAAATAGTATATCGATTAGAAAGTGTAATTAGTAGAAATAGTATATCGATTAGAAAGTGTAATTAGTAGAAATAGTATATCGATTAGAAAGTGTAATTAGTAGAAATAGTATATCGATTAGAAAGTGTAATTAGTAGAAATAGTATATCGATTAGAAAGTGTAATTAGTAGAAATAGTATATCGATTAGAAAGTGTAATTAGTAGAAATAGTATATCGACTGGAAATGTAAATTCATTGTTTTTCTTTATCTAATGGTCCAATCCATTACCAAATGAATTCAAAGGAATTGAAGTTTTGTAAATCACTGTAAAAGTTTCCACCTGAACTTCCCCATAAAAGGAATAAAAATAAATATGCCAAAAATTAAAAACAAAATTTAACAAAAGTGAGGATTTGCTGATATTATATAAATCAAAATTCTAATACAGAAAAAGTGCTACTTCGTTTGGTGACTCAAAGTTTCTTAATAAACCTAACATAAAAAGATGACTCTATGTACTTAATAATAATTGAAATTTAGAAGAAATCGCCTGGAAATATTCTGCATTAAAGTTTTACTTAATCAATTAAAAAGTGATATTAAACTACTATTAAACAAACCGAATAATTCTAATTATTTGTATCATTTCAGAAATAGCAGCTCGAAATAAATAAACAATAAAATGACAGTAGCAAAAGATCAAATATTGTTTATGTTCATCCTCGATGAAATAATGTAAAGTTGCAATAATTGGAATGATTATCCCGTGGTGTCGCGTTGCAAACATATTCATACTGGTAAGAAAGATAGTTTTGCTAGCTAACTTTTATATTTACAAAGACAAAATATAATGACTGTGAGTAGTTGAGCTATACCAAAGTTAATGTTTTTTAATATTAAAATGCAGTAATTTTTTCTGTGTAATTAAAGAATGTAATTAAGATATAATTTATTCTATCTCAAATGATTGATATAAAATTGTATCAAAAATGCAGTGAGTAATTTAGGAAAATAAGCCAAATATATAAATTTTTGGAGATGTTTATGCTTTATGTAATACGTCTTTTGCGTAAATGTGTTGTGAATACTTACTAAAATATAATATTTGCAAAGTATGTGAAATTACCTTGCAGAAGAAAATGTTTGTCTTTAACAGTTATCAATCAGTATAATGTTTAAGTGTAATTATTTTACAATGCTCAATAATTTTAAACCAGAAAATAGTGAAGAAATATTGAAATAGAAATGAATATTCAGAATTCAGATAAGTCAGATAGAAGGTTTGGGATAGTGATTGAGACATTTATGATCAATTCTGAGAAAATATGTTGGAATATTGCAAAAAGGTGACAGCAAAGTGACAAGGCAAACGATTCCATTGGCATTCGCCAGTTTCTGATCAAATTAGACTTTATTGATTGATCGTTGGTATATGCTTCAGTAATATAATGTTCAGAGATAAAAAGCGTAATGATGATAGTAATAGTAGTAGTATTACACATGCCACTGCGTTAAATGAATTCGAATTTCTGACGTATTCTAAAATTGACGTCAAAGCCGAGCAAAAAAAAGAAGAAAAGAATAACATAAGACTAAAGGAAAAAAACTTTCTATCATTACTGCTTTTCTTGTATTTTCTATCATTGCTTTCCTTATTAATTTAGTAAAGTGAATGGAACTGCCAATAGACATGGTTTTTTTCTTTTTTAAAAAAAAATGGGAAAAGATTAAAAATAACTGATATAAGGTCAGAAAAAAAGTGATATCATCAAGAGATTAAGAAGTGAATAGCATTCAGTCTTCTAAGTTTTTCCGATTAGCTAAATTTAAGTGAACTATCTTGCTCTCGGAAGGTTATATACTCCATGCAATAAGTAATTTATAACTTATGAAAGAATGTCGTATGAATATGAATTTATTATTATTACCATTGTTATTATTAATATTAACGATTTTCAGACTTGGCTGTATGCGGTGGTTGGGTTAAAGAAGGAACAGAAGACGTCGAGAAAGTGTTTGTGAATTGGAATATTCCTGATCAAAGGGAGATTAAATCACGTTTTTTTTTTTTTTTTTTGCAAAATTAAGTATTATTTATGAATTAAAATGAGGCATACAATAATGATAATTTGCTCTTTTCGAAAATGTTCAATTTGAGTAATTTGTTATGATGGATTAGTAACAGATGAATCATGGAGAGACATATTACCGAGATTTTACGCAAATTGGAAAACATTACTTCAGGAAAGACCAGGAGCAATCATTGAAAAAGAAATTGTGTATGGCAAAACAAAGAAAGAAGAAAAAAAAAAACTGTTCGATATGTATTAGAAAGGATAGAAAGATATAAGAGAAGAAGTTGCATCGATTAATGAGACAATGTTGGTGATCTCCTATTTATTTTTTTCTCTTATTTCAGAAAAAGTGTCTCGGTCATCCGTTCCGAATAATGCCACTGCATACAGAGGTCAGTTCTTTACTGTTAAATAGGGAGCATTTTTAATAGATATTATTATTAGTTGTGTAAAAGATTTATTGAAAATATTGCTTATTTTTACATTTTGAATGAAATGCAGTTTCTGATTGGGTATAATTATGGCTTAATTTAGCTGAGCATAATTAGCTCAAAATTCAGTGATAAAGTTAAAAATTAATATTGAATTTGGGTGGTGCCAAGAAACTTTTATTTGTTTCGTTCATTTTTGTACTTTATTCTACAAACATTTTGAAATTCTTTAGAAGCATCTTTTTTCACATAAACTTATCCTTTTAACAGAAATATTGTGGATAGTTTTGCTGTTCAAGCAATGTTTTCTGTTCCTGCTTTCTACTTACTGCAATTCAATTCTGCAAAATATCTGGTATTATTAAATTGTTTCTTTATCTGGTCATCATCTAGATGATTTTTGTTTTAGGTCAGAAATGTCAAACATCATTTGTTTATCGTCATGACTACTGCTATATCGCGGTTCGTTTTTATATTTTTTTAATCATCTATTTAGCTACAATTTCGGCCTTATATCGTCATTTTGGGTTGGCGTTAACCTTAGATTGTTTATCTCATCGAAAGTTCTTGAACATTCTGATATTATGCATGACTAGGTGTCATTGTAGAGCAGAAAGATTTGCAAGGAGATTAATGCATGCAGCATACGTCATACTTAAGAATAGTTATATTATATATAATACTAAACCTATTATCATTCAATATTTTTCTATGTCTATTTATAGAATGAATGAGTCTTAATTTGTCTGAAATAGTAGGACTTGCAGACATACTAACGTAGTACTGTTTCAGGGTTTTACTAACTTCATGCCTCGTTTTGCAATCCGAACAGTTTGCAATTTATTGGATAGTGAAATAGTCAAAATTAGGAATAAGGAGGAGGCACATACAGCTTATGGTAAGATTGAGCCAGTATTTGTTATTGTTTCTTTAAAGAAATATGTGTTTTGAATTATATGGAAATTTATTTGAAAGTCATAATTGAGGGGAGAATTGTTAACTACTCGATAATAATCTATTTTTTCATTACTGAAATTTTATAACTGACTGAACATTTTTATTGAAGGTTTGTTAGGCTTAATAAAAATTTATTTACAGGACTTGCTGGTGGGAAGTCGTTCTGGCTTGGATTGTGAAGAGGTATAATTTTATTTCGGTGACTACGACTCTATAACATTTGATGTTATAATTCATTATTCAGGATTTAGAGAAGTGTAATTTAGTTACTATGTTAGTAAATTTATCAAATTTAAAAAAAAAAAAAAAAAAACGGTAAATGTTGAGAATATAGCAAATCCTTTTTGCTTCTTAACTTACGATTTTCTCTTCTATTTGACTGCTTGTTATTTTTAATACATTGCATGGAATTGTAGATGAGAGTTCGTGGCTAAAATATCACCTTAGGATCAGTTGGTTTTATTTCATATAAACTTCGAGATTAAATTTGGTAGCATATTCCTGCAGGAAAGAGGGATTGATATTGGGATACTAGTACCTATGGAACTCAACACATTTTTTCTTTTGGCGTACAGGACAACCGGATATAACAGACAACAAAAATTGTGTTTACGCAGCTTACGCAGGAGAGTGGATGACTGCTGACTGTGATAACTTCCGCTCACCGAAAATGTTTGTATGTCAGAGTGAGTTTTGTAAACCCACATTGAAATTTTTAATTAGTCGCTTTCCTGGGTTATTCGGAGAAAAAAAAGTTTTTTTGCGGGAAACTTTACCGGCAAAAAATTTTTCCGGGTATCCATTTTGATTTCAACTGATCACGAAATCATGGGTATGCATATTATTCACATTAATTAAATGCTTAAACAAATATTTCAGTGATCATTTTAGCTTTCATTGTAAAAAAGCATCCGGAGTAACTGTAACACTTCTGTTACCCTTTTTAGTCGCTTTCTAGGTCAATATTTCAAATTTGTATTATATTCGGATGATTTTTTCTATTTTAGGCCCTTCATACAAGAACTAGAAGAAAGAAGTTATGTGGAATTATTGAGATGTTTTGTCTCGTTACAAGCGCATCCTGTTCATAGATTTCATTTGTATCTTGAACATCTTAATGTTGGTGTGTATTATTTTTTCTATGGGTATCAAAAAGATAGTTTCAAAGAAGGTAAAGGAGGTAATCGTCTTAGGTCCATTAAGGAATTCGATGTGAAACTATAATTCTAGTAACTTAACTTTTTACCGAAAAATATTCACTGTCACATTTTATATCATTTTTGAGTGGAAGTTTTGCGAATGTATAGGCAATATTTGAGAAGCAACAAAACATCTGTAGCTCTATAAAGTTGAGGAGACACTCTGTATTATTTATTTTTTCCAATTAGTCAAAGGTATTCAGACTCCATATGTGTCTTAAATGATGCAACTTTCATGTAAATGATTTTTGCATGAGATCATGATGGTAGTAGTGAAATATTGTAATGCATTTGCAAGATTGTTCTGTCTCTTTTTAATTGAATAAATATAAATGAGAGTACAGAAATAGTTTGTGGCTGTTATGAAATAATAACCGCCACAACAATTAATAATGGAAATTCGATTATTTTATTAGAGCTGAAGGATAATTTTTAGCAGACGAGTTTTTGTCATATCAGATGAATTTTTGTCACGGTATGCAGAGTCTTGTTGATCTGCTATATCATACATGAGCCTTATACTATCACTTATTAAGCTACAAATGATCTCATCTAGTTGCGAAGAAATCTTTTGTGAATTTATCTGAAAGCTATCAAAAAAAAAAAAAAAAAAAGAAACTGGGCAAGTAAAATTCTTCCTCAGAATATTGGATCATAATGTTGCTCCACAATATTTTGTGCTTGCAGAAATAGAAATTTGGGAGGGCAAAAATAGAAATTCGGTAGGGAGTGCGCGCGGTAAAAACAAATTCGTAAGCGAGAACGCGGCAGAAATATTTGAACTTGGAAAATTAGTTTGCGATTCTTTTAGATGAGCTTTCCATTGTTATATGGAGTAATAATTTTATACGCATATCGTTAAGAAACACAATTGCTATTATTTTGGAAATTTTTTCCTAACTAAAACATTCACCATTCAACGTCTCCTGTCGATCTCACAGCTACGTAAGCAGTCAAAATTTATAAAGTCATGTTAAAAAACTTTTAAAATCACAGATGTCTAGTAGAATGCATATTAGCAAGCATAACAGAAGCCTAATAACTAAACATAGTCCTATGTGTAGTCCAAAAATTATGTACGTGGTGAAATTGTATCACTATTAACATTTCATTAACTTCAACAATATCAAACAATTATAGCAGAATTTTTAATCAAAACAGAAATCAAACAGAATTAATATATATTAATAACTAACGATGAAAAGTGGTAATACATAATTACTGCAAAATGATTCAAATGAATTGGTATCACAACAATAAGAAATTGCTAATTCTGTTAATAGCAATTAAAAACAATAAATGGCTGATTAGCTTGAATCAATGCATTTTTATTCAACAACATACCTTAAAAAAAAAAAAAAAAAAAAAAAAAAACGATTCGTTGGAAATAACCAAATGATATTCAGGCATGTAATCGAAACAAAAAGAATCTTAATACAACCATAACTTAATAATAAATAAAAAAAGGATACATAAGAACCATGGACGTGAAGATGGTGGCAACCAGCATAGTATGACGACTGACATCAGATTGGGATGTGTTAGAGAGATCGAGAATATGATCAAATGATATTCCCTGTGAAGGGCAATTGGGTTGAATGTATACACCGAGTTTTCGTGCAAATTAAGTAAGATAAGATATTTGCATATATTCTCCGAGCGCGAGAGAGTATTACTTCAGTAGGAAATGTTTTAAATGATTCTCATAAATGATTTTTTCAACTTTTTTTTTTTCTTAAATTGGAACTGGGTTAAAAAAAAAAATTGTAGGGTATTTGATAACTTAAAAAAGATGAAATTGTGCGAAATTTTCCAAAATATAATTGAGAAATTAATTTCAGGAAAAATAACAAATTTTGTGCGGCATGCTGAGATTTATAGCGCCTTTTATCGAATGCATCAAAAGAAAGTAAGTAGATATTTGCATATATTCCTTCAGTAGGGAATATCACTTAAGATGGAAATGTTTTTATAAATTATCTTTTCATTTTTTTTCTCTTAAATTAGAATTGAGTTAAAGAAAAATTGCAAGGCATTTGATGATTGATATAAGCAGTATTGTGATCAATTTTATAAGTAGTATTGTGATCAATTTTAATATAATTGGAACGCATAATTTGGCGTTGGTTTATCATCAATTTGCATTTGATTAATTTGATAATTTTATAGAGTGGGCTCGCGTGTCGCCCAAAATCCAGAACATCGGACTATTTCCGATGTTCTGGTATATCTAGAACGGGAACCTGTAATGCTCCGTGCATTACAGGAATATATGCGCGAAAGAGAGCAGGTAAATTCATTTTTCTTTTTTGTCATCAATTAAGGATTATAGAAAGAGTTATACTTTTAATTTATATGAAGAGCTATAGAAAGTACTTTCTTAAAATGTGGTCTTTTCAGATTGAAGATCTGCTCTTAACCTGCTTGGAGGATACGGAGAGGAGGTCGGAGGTCGAAGGGCAGGATGGAGAAGAATCGGTGCCTCAGGAGCAGGCATTTTACGAAGAAGAGGCAGAGTGGGCCCCTCTGCCTGAAACTAATGATACTGATGAGGCCGAGAATTGGCCAACGGAAGCAGAGTGGGCTCCTCTGCCGGAAAGCGATGAAGAAACTGAGGCACCGGTGGCACCAAATGCCGTTGCAGAACCGGTCGAATCAGTTCGCGAACTCGTCCTGTAAGTTTTGATTTCTGAAATAAATGTAGTAACCATGTAGTAAACAAAGTAATAACTAGAACAATTGCTAACTTTTTGTTAATTTGATCTGCTGAATAATTTAAACCAAATTTGAAACTATTTCAGAAGGACGAGGACGATTAATATTCCGGTTCTGGCGACGCATACATCGGTTGCGGCAGCACCGGAAGAATTCCACCCCGCTGATTTAGGGGATCTTCCGGAGCAGCTCCGACGGGAGTTGCTAGTGCCGCAAGCAGAACCATACACGGTGGTTGAAGCAAATGAAGAGAAGAACATCGGTAATTTATAATTTTAATAACGTTAGAAGATGATTTTATGTTTGTAATATTTTAAAGGAATATAATCATACTTTAATCTTTTAATGATAAAATCATATTTATGAGTGAAATGTCACAATGTTCTTCTTTACAATGTTTCAAAACGGTCACAAAATTTCCATTCTTCTTCTAATCATTTCTATTTTCAGTGTGTGGTATCTGCGGCAGGCAGTTTGGCACATTGAAAGGGTGGCGTATTCACGCCTCGAGAATGCATAAGCAGGATGGTAAGTACTTCTAAGCGGAATTTGCAATTAGTTTTTAAAAACATTAGCATATTTGATTTATCTAAAAGTTGGCGGACTAATTCATTATGAATATTTCAGGTTTTTGCGCTCGTTGTGGCCATTACCTCCTGCTGCCACCCGGATTCACGGCCGCGCAAAAGAGAGCAGCGACGGAAGTTCACGCTCTCGATTGGTGCCCGAGAGCGTGTGCGGCCGTGATCAACGAAAGGCAGGTCAAGCGCCGCAGACTTGACCTAGTGGGGAGAGAAGAGGATGCCAGCCACCTCTTCATTCCAGGTGAGAAATTACTAATATCTAAGAAATGAAATTTGAAATTGAGAAGGAAATGAAAATTCGAATGTACAGAAAACAAAACATTCAGAAAGTGGATTTCATAGTTTTTCTAACCAGCGATTTTTTTTTTCAGGCCAGTGATAACATCCGGCCCTCCTCACGCGGCTGACCTGCTACTGCCTGTCCCAGCTCTCCAGTCTTCTGCCCTAACAAGAACACCGAAGCAGGTTAGTATTGCGCAAAATAAAAATGAAAAAAATTTAAAAAATAAAAAAAATCAAAAAAAAAAAAAAAAAATTAAAAAAAATTAAAAAAACAAAAAAAAAACGAAAAAAATAAAAAAAACAAAAAAAAATCAAAAAAACTAAAAAATAAAAAAAATCAAAAAAAAATAAAAAATGAAAAAAAATAAAAAAAGCTAAAAAAAAAAATAAAAATTGAAATTTTTTTTAGTAATAATTTATAGTGTAAAAGCAACTGAATTCAGAGCTTAATAAAAAATTGTAAATTTTGTGAAAAAAAAATATGGAAAAATGGGCATGAAGCTCATTCATTTTATGCTAGCATGTGTTAATATTAATTGTTTGTAGTGTATTTGAGAATCAAAAAGTTTGTGAAAGGGATTTCTTTTTCGTGGACAAAATTCGAAAATAGCTACTTTTAGGTCAAACTTCATTGAATTCAGTTGCTTTTTTTTTGTTTATCAGTTTTTATCTTGTTTTATTCTACTTTTTAATTTGCCCTCTCTGGGCAACTAACTTTTTTAAGAGTTTATTGTTCTATTTTATTGTTCCTAATTTAACTATTATTATGAAAATTTTGGTGTTTTTAATCATTTTCTAGTTATTACTAATGATTTTGCTTTTTTTTTTTTGAGAGATTGTCTATGATTTTTTTTCTGTTTTTCACATTTTATATTACTTTAACTGTTATTTTTAAACTTTTTTATTACATATGTTTTTCATTTTTACTTCAATGTTATCTAATTCTTTTCTGTTAATTTTTCTGCTATTTTTTTATTTTTCACCTAATTTATTATGAGTGTTGGATACCAACTTATATTTGACTTTGGTTTCTTGTAATAAGTTTGTTGGTTATGTTTGTTTGTGCTAATATCATGTTTGTTTATTTTGTCTTACTAGAATATTTTAATATCATATTAGGTAGCCAATAGCAGCATTTTACATTTAAAATATTTTTTTGCAACTTAGTAATTTTTCAAGCTTTTTCTTACATTTAACTTGATTTTTGATTCGCTGAATTAGAAAATAGTGATATCATTGAATAATTTGACAATGTCTAGGTTTATTTTTTTTGAGTTGAATTCCTAGTTGGTATCCAATAAGTTATTTTGTGGTGAAAGAGATCGGGAGTAGGTATAAATAGAGTTATACCTACCCTCGATGTAACTTATAGTACGTGAGGAAAATTTTGGAGCATTTGAAATACTGAAGGAAATTTTAAATTGTGAAGCTTTTTGAATTAGCT